AAAGAGAGAGATCCTCGGAATCATCCGCCGAGCTCGCTTAACGAAACCGACTCCGATCCCGAACTGAGAATCCAAGCAAAGGTTGCGAGTACGCCGCCCCAGCCAGTACTGGCCAGAGCTGATTCTCCGCTCCTATCTGATCCATCGAATCCGCTTGCCAGGAACGCTCGAGGTAGCGTGTTCGCTGCCCCAGCCAAGAGTTACTGGCGCTGGCTAAGCATCTCCTCCGACTTCCACATAAACGCAACGTATCGGCAAGCTCGCCAGGTGTTTCTGGTCGTTGCGCCCTGCAGCCGAACACGCCGGCCCACGCCGCTGTGGACCGCCGCCGCCATCCTTGCCTCCGAGCATCTATCCGCGATCCGCATCCGCTGTAAATATCCGTGTCCGCTGTAAATATCCGCGTCCGCTGTAAATACCCGCGACCCGCGCCGCCGTAACAGACCTGCGATCTGCGTCCGCTGTCAATACCCGCGACCCGTGCCGCCGTAATAGATCCGCGTCCGCTGTAAATATCCGCGTCCACTGCTTTGGACGACAACTGCGCCACTGACTAAATCATTGTAAAACGCGCTGCTATTGTCACCATCACGATTAATTATCTATAAGCAATCTTGTCATCCAGAATATATTAAATACAGATATTAATATCAGAGAACTTATTCGTCTTGCCGCTTTTTCATACCGAACCTGGACAGACCGACGAGCGTATCCGCGTATGTAACATATCCTTGCGGAACACTAACCGACGAAAAGGCGGATCGTTTTACTCATATTAATAACTCATATTAATATTTCATGTTTTACTTATATATTAATATTTTTTTAGGTGCTATAGATGGTTCTCATATAAGGATTGACAAATCAATAGAAGATGCTGACTTTTATATCAATAGAAAACAATTTTTCATTACATATTCATTAAGAAACGGTTAATCAGAATTTAAAATTTATTGATGTATTTGTTGGGTATCCAGGTTCTGTTCATGATGCTACAGTATTCAAAAATTCATCATTATATAATGATCTACATCAACTTTGTGAAGGTTAGTTAAAAATAGAAAATAATAAGTAGTAAATCGTGAAAGCTATAAAAATATCAATATTTTAATGTTATTAATATTATTTCAGATAATTATTTTCTTGTGGGGGATCCTTGCATCCTTGTTTGCAACAACTAATCGTTCCATATAAAGATAATGAATATTTAACAGAAATCAAAGAATGTTTAATCAGAAATTAACTTCTTGCAGAGTTATAATTGAAAATGTATTTGGTTGTTTGAAACAGCGGTTTCTCCAATTATATCATTTTAAATTAAGAGATATACCACGAATAGTACGAGTTATACACGCCTGTTGTGGTTTGCATAATATGGCCAATGTGCAGGATTTACAATTATTTGAAGTACTTATGAACGATGAGCAACCAGATTTTGACGCACAAAATCACTTCATAAATAATGAAGCACCAAGAGAACATGAAACTGGTGTACATAGATGAGATGAAATATGTTACTAAATAACGCGTGTATAAAATTTACTTCAGGATATGTAAACAGCTTATACTGCCAATAATTCAATAATTCAATTAATCTAATTTCTAATTATATAATCAATGTAATTTCTAAATATTTATAAAAGAATAAATTTAGTAATATCCGGCTTTTTTAAAATATTCTTTTTGTTGTATATATCTATACATACATCTTCATAATGATTATTATTAATTCTTTTTTGCTTGTTCTTTATAAAATTGACTATATATTAATATATAAACGCATATAAATATTGATATTAATATAAATAGATATTAATATAAATAGATGATAATATAAAATATAGATGTTAATGTATATATATGTTGAAATATTTTATTTAGTTTTTGTATATTTTTGTAAATCGTTCGTATATATTTAATAAGAAATAAAATACGTATTGTAAATTGTGTAATTATTGGATAAAAATATTAAACAAATTTTAATTAAATATTATAAATTATTCTTTATTATAAACCTTTATTTTTACAATAAAATATAAACTAGACATAAACTAAAGTAGTAAATAAACTAAAAAACATTTTTTAAGAATATTCTTAAAAAAATAATATTAAAGAAACATAATATTTTTGAAACATATAATGTTCAAATATTAATAAAAAAAATAAATTTTTTAAACATAAATTCAAAACATACATTCTACTTTCATTCTCTGAACTAAAAAAATAATAACAAAAATATTTTTTAATGAAATAAATGTATAAAATAAAATTCAAAACATTCTTTAAATCATAAAATAATAAAAAAAATATCTTTAACGAAATAAATGCTTAAAATTAAACATTAATATTTTTAGTTAGCTATTTTTTAATAATAAAAAAAAATATTTTCTATTTATTTTGTAAATCTAAATTTATTATTATAACGGTTCGTCCTCATCGGGCGTGACGTGCTCGTCGGTTGCCGGGTTCGGTAATTAATAAAATTATTTAACTCGGACGTTTTGTTAAAAAAGTATATATTTATTTGAATTAATCCAGGTGGATACACAGCGGTGTTGGTTCGCCATGAGGTTCTCGGTGCGGGCGAAGTATGCGCGGTGCGCGCGACATATGCGTCAGGGCGAGAGATTGGCTCGCGTCGGGACCTACTGGTCGCGTAGGCATGTGATTGATCGAGCTTTCGGCGATAGCGCTCGCAATTTGTGCCGCGTTACTTGGTATTTTCGCGCGGTCGATGTGCGTTTAAATGTCAAGAGCGAGAAGCTCGTTCTGGCTCGTAAATTTTGCACGAGAAACAAGTATGCTTGTCGGGGACTGAGAATACTCCGTCCCGTATGCTCGTGTATAGACGGGATTGATGAGACCGAGAGTGCTCTGTCTCAGAGTGGAAGATAGAAGAAATGAGTAACAATGCTTGTCGGGGACTAAGAATGCTTTGTCTCGATTTGCTTGTATCGTTAGCAAGGAAGCGTTGAGACTGAGAATGCTCTGTCTCGAGGGAAGCGAGAGTCAAGTATGCTTGAGGCTAAGAATACTCTGTCCCGATTTTCTCACTTTTGTGGATAGATGATACCTGGTGTCGAGTATACTCGGCAGAGATCAGGAATGCCTGGTCTCGGTTTATCGGTATCGGTCGGAGGATCGGAGGATCGGTCTGGTCTGTCTTATCGTGGCTCGGCCGGGTTTATATATCCGATCGCGTTTGTTATTTTGTATTAACAAAATAATGCGAGTCGTCGGCGGTGTTTGACACGCACATGGCGAATGCGTGTTCGGTTGCGCGCGCAATGATCGGTGCGCGCGCAACCGAACACGCATCTCAACGTATAACTCCGTAACACGTTCGGTATCTCAGGCGCGCGCGTCGGTCGGTGTGTTCGGTAGCGGGTGCGAAGCCCGATCGCACTTACTGACTAGAACGATATGCGGGGGGCATATCGTTACATTATTAATATATTACTTTAATTGTATTAATAATCTTTTCTTTGTATTTTTATTAGTTCTTGTAACAGTTTAGTCTTTTCCTCGCGTAATTTATTTGCACCAAGTAATTGCTTTTCGTATGATTTTCTCATTTTTTTGTATTCATCTATTATTTCTTTTTGCATCTCACATTTGATCTTATTTTCTTTATGTATCATTTGTTAATTTTTCTAAATTTCGTTGACATATATCCAAAACTCGTGCTGTAATGCTTATTTTCTTTGTATAGCTTTTGCTTTTGAATATCTATATTATAAATTATAGAATCATTTTTTATTGATAAAAAATTCAAGTTGAGAAAATAGATCTAGTTTCGGAATATCTTCGTTATATTTTAAGTAATATAATATTAATTATAAATCACAAATTGTTGATTTATTGTAATCATTTTGAATTTTGTAATCATTTTGAATTAGTATCAAAGAACGTATAATAAAAATTCTTGCAAAATATAGTAAAATATAGTAAAATATAGTAAAAACATTAATCGATAATGTTTATATTTGATAAAAAGTTTATAAAATATATAAAAAACTTATTTTTATTACATTAATCAATAAATAACTATATATATTTAAAATGAATTATGACTTTGTTTTTAATTAAGCACAATTTATTTCTAGATATATGGTTATTCATTCATTATTGAAGCAAAAAAGAAATTTTTATATTTTACAATTTTATTCCATCAATTTCAAATTTTATTTTATCAAAAAATATCTTTCTTGTAATATATTTTGTAATGTATTTTGCAAAAATTTTCATTATATATTCTTGCTTGTGTTATCAATTAAGATGAGATGTAATAAACCAATAGGAGTGAAATACAAATGTGATTTTATGTTTTATCTATTTAATTCATTTTTCAAGCTTTGCTATATCTTATTGTAAAATAAATGAATATAACATATAAATATATTTTATTTAAAATGTTTATAACTTTTAATATATATATAATTTCACAAGGAAATTGTTATTACGTTATCTTCAAAAATATTATAGGTTAAATATGCAATGTTTCTTTATATTAATAAATATAACGAAAGTATTTTATTATTGTAGAAAACTTATGTTTTTAACATAATTTTATAATTTTATAATTTTTTTATAATTTTTTATTTATCTTTTTGTTATCGTTAGTCACTGATTGCAATTTCATTATAAGTTGGTTCATTATATATTGTTTGATGTGATGTTGTTAATTCGTTATATGTTTGATTTGATATTGTTGATTCATTACATATTGCCTGCTGTGATATTGTTAGTTCATTAATATGCTGTCTGATACGAAATTTCTTCCTTGTGCTTAGCTTTAAACATGTTGCTTAGCTTTAATTTGTATACTTGTATTTATACTATTATAATTATTTTCATTATTTTCATTATAGATAGATCTATAATATATTTAAAATAAATGATTAAAACAATTTTATTATATAAGAAACAGTTTCTAATAATTAAGACTTTTCTTACTTAAAATCTAATATAAAACTTACAACGATGTTAGCCTACTATCATTTTTTAAAATTATGCCTTTATTTCCTGATAACAATAAGGGTTCAATGTTATATTTTCCGCCTAATATAATAGTTCTACTAATTCCCTAATTAAATTAAACGTGTTTTATAATAAATATTAATTTTTTTATACATTTTAAAATTTATTGATATACTTACATCTCATAAGGACAACTTAATCTATTTCTTCTATTTTTTTTATTATGGGTTATTACATTTTTATAAAATCGTTCCAATAATTTATATTTGTTTTCTACTTGTATTGCAGAAACATTATAGCCTTGCATTTTCATTTTTTCTGAAATTTTTTGCAGAATCTTTTTTGTTTTAATTTTTCTTTGTACAAGTAGATCTATGTTTTCTTTATACAAAGATAGAAACAATTTTGTACTGTCCAATAAAATGCTTCTCTATATACTTCTTCTTTTCTATCCTCATATTCTTATTATTTAATATCCTTTCATATCCTCATTATTTAATTCATTGGCATTATTAGGAATATCATACCATGTTATTAATATGTTTTTATTATCAATAGTACAGCACATACTGTCAAAATTAAAATCGATTTCTTTGTATATGTGAAATTTTAATCTTCCTGCAAATGCATATCAACAATATATTAATTTTTATATTTTGTTTATACACAGATGTTGATACATAGATTTAAATCTACAAAGACTGATAATTCATAATAGTAAATAATTTGAATTCTTTATTAAATAATAT